TCCCGCTACTCACACCTCCCCTCGTCCCGGATCCGCCACTGCCAAGAATACCAAGACTACCCAAATAGTCGACTTGAGATTCTGTGTTAGTGATGTTGAGATGCTCCTAAACGTCGAGTGCAGTTATGCCCAGGCCCTTCGATCCTGAGTTGCATATCTGCAGTTAGGAAATATAGCCTGCTTTTTTTAGGCGTCATCTCTTCGAAAGTCGCCTAGAGAATATTTATTTTTCCGCTGTTATCATTGAATATTACGTGACGAGGATCGGGTGTATAATATATGCTGTAATTGTGCATAATTAAGGCTGGATAGAGAGGAGAAGTGGGCGGTTGAATGTAATTAACTAATTATTTTTCTAATTAAACTAGTGCCTTTTTAACTGCCTCAGCACTTTCATTAGCTATCGTTTCATCGTCGCATTTCTTCTCGTCATCAGCGCTTGCAACTTTCCCACGCTAGCCTATTGTTAATGAACTTTTCGCATCTACATAATTTCATACAGGCGGCTTTGACGTGGATCCTTTCACCTTTCCGAAAAGCTTGTTCGCTGAATATTGCATGTTATGTCCCTATCACATAATTATATACAACTTACAAAAGCGATGATGAATGAATGATTATTTTCTTTTTTCTGTAAACTTATCCGTTTTTAAATTCAATTGCACGAGGACTTGCGCAATGCATGTTAATGACTGCGATTTTCATAAAATGTTCAAGCTCTGGCTTTAATATTATTTATTGAAAGGTAGGCCTAGATTCTCGCTTCTGACGTCAAACTCTGTGAAAAGTTTATAAAGGTATTTCGCGATGTTTTGAGGGAATTTTTTTGGGAAAGATATTTGAGAAAGGGAAAGTTTCGAGGGAAGGATATTTCGCGAGCGCCGCACCGTCGGTCATTTCTGTTTTTGTAAGTTTTTCAGTAGATTCGTATGTTCAGCGATAGTGCTATTCATATTCTAGTTCTGCAAGCACTGAGCTTCTTTCGAGTGGCCGCACGCACATCTCATCCTTATTTTCACTAAAATGATTAAAACATTCTAGCTGGATAAAAATGGGCCCAACATCCTCCGGCGCAATAAATTTGTCTCTGACATGAAATAGCTGTTTGTATCGTTTCGCACTGAGGGAACGACTGATAAAATACATTAGATAAGTGGACATCGGGCAATGTCATTGCGTTCCTGGGAAGAGAGCCATATGGCATTCGAAAAATTCGGAGGCTAACATATGGTCGTTTGGCATTTCAATTAAACATTCATCGCATTTTGGCTTTCAAATCGGGATGCTCTTCGTTCCTGAAAGTCAAATTAGAATTTTTTTTTGTTTTTTACCAGTTTTATTATACTTTTTTCGTAATGAAAAGCACAAGTGCTTCGACCGCTGAATCGATTTCACCCACATTCTGTGTTATAATTTAAGGCTTTTTAACAAATTTCTTGGCCAAAGCCTTTGCCACAAATTTTGCGGTTTAATCTCCTCGAATCCTATTATTATTTTCAAGCCCCTTATTGTTTCCCTTTCATCCAGGACCATTTCGGTCTTCTTTCCACTCTGTGCCACAATTTTGTCATTTTATCCGGAATATTTAGAACAAGGCGGTTATTCTTCCTTGTTCTTCTTTTCTCCTTCTTTATTAATTTACCATAAATCTTCCCCCACCACGGGTAAGTAAGAATTTACATCATTTTTGCGGCCGAGCCCTTTTGGGCTCGGTCGTACGGTATTTAGTAGTTTGTGGACCATCCGTTTTGAAACTTCAGAACTACGGTTCGGCTAGTCTTACAGTTGCCACTAACTTTTTTCATAGTATCATTTTTCATCTACGTACTGATAAGCCTGCTAACGCTCGTGTCTGGTAAGCCTGTTGTCGCTCATTTTTATGCGTTTTTGCCTATATGCAAATTGCAAAAACGCATATTGGGACGACCCTGTCTG